CAAGGAGACTTTTTTTTCCTAGAGGGAGGAAGAACAAAGGGGATGGAGATCGGAGGGAGAGATTTCTGAAAAAAAACAAAGGAAGCGAGAAAGTAATTGAGAGTCAAAGAAGTTTGAATCTAAGCAAGGAAAGGCTTTGAGCGAGAGAGATTAAGTGGTCTGAGAGAAGAGGAGAGACCAGAACGCGAAGCCAAGGAAGCTAGAATGAGAGAGCTGAAAAAAAAAAAGAAGAGACGAGAGCATCTAAAGATAGAGAAAAATCTGGGTTGGATACAGGGAAGCAATCAAAGAATAAAGGGAGAAGAACCAATTGAAGATGCTCGCTTCTCCTTACTATAATAGGTTTGGAATCAATTTTTTTATGCTTACTCTGCCTTCTGATCTCATTTCATGTTTCACTCATGGAAGTCTAGTTAGCTTTAAGAGTGTAATAATTTAGATTATGAGCATACTTTTGGATTCTGTATCATCTGCAGGAGAAGTCTGATTAGCTTTAAGAGTGTAATAATTTAGATTATGAACATACTTTCGAATTCTGTATCATCTGTAGGAATTTTATGAGGGTGTATTGTTTATATGTCTAGATTGAAAAGGTTGGAAACATTTTCTCTGATATTTATCAAGATCTCTTGTTGTAGTTTGATTTCCTCTGAGAATAGTGAGGGGTTCATACTTTTCTATGGTTGATGGACTGTATACGTTTATGGGTGTATAGAAGATACCAATTGAAAAAAAGAAGAAGAAAGATACAGGAGATTAGACACCTAGATATATGTTGGTGAGATTATTGGTCCCTTAGCATGGACTTAGGCATTCCAAGCATCTAATTTGTTTGTTTCATTGTTTGGATATCTGTGATATTCATCATTGAAGGTTTCTCAAGAGACTTAATCATATGGCTGTATGATTTGGTCGGCTTAGATCTCTTGGGTGCTTATGAGTTATGATGAGTTTAGATGGCTGAGCACCTCTTTGATCTTCTTAACTTTCATAATAGTTAATTAGCACGATGGATGATTTATATTTTCTTTTTCTTCTCCATATAGTTCAAGTGAGGTTCTATTTGCTGCCCAAATTATCTTAATTTAGCTTTAAGCAAATTTCCATTTTGTATGTATCCCAAGTTGTGAGCGATTTCTTGTTATTTCATTAACCAGGCTGCTTCTTGTTATTTTGCTGAAGGGATGTATTGATTATTTTTGGAAAAATTAGGAGCTTTACTTGTGAGAACAGCATTGTGATTGCTACCTAATTTACGTGTTTGGGCTTTCCTATTTTAATGAAATAACATTGCCAATTCATATTATCCATGTTACTTCCTCTCTGAATATTAGCCAAGTGTTAGGCTAAATCTTATTTTTTTTAGAATATATTGTCAAGTCAAAAGAATAGTGAATTATCAAATTAATTTATTCTTTCCATTGCCTTTATTGAATAAATTATTTAGTCAACCATAATATTATGTACCAATTGCAAATACAAATATTTCGGTTATCTAGTTGTCATGTGAGATTTTAAGAATCTTCGTAGGCATTTAGAATGATTTCATACCGTGTAAATTAATAAGATTTTGCAAGTATGAAGATCAATTTTGTAGATATTTATATGGGTTTCGAAAGCCCATTATTAAAATTAATTCTCTCTTTATAATAAATATTTAAGTCTCATGTGAGATTTCAAGAATCTTCGTAGAGACTTAAATTAATCACCTTATCGTGTGGGATAATAAGTCATCGCAGATATAGCGATTATCAATTTTTATAATATAATAAATGATTATTAAATAATCATATAATACACAATTAGAAAATTAATTAATTAAATTAATGAATTTAAATTGTAATCATATTCACTAATTATATCTTTTAGTCATGTGAGATTTTTGAATCTCCGTAGATTTCTAAGATAATCGTATTATCGTATGAGTCAATAAGACTCTACAGATATAATGATTAAGTTTTTAATATATATAAATTATATATTAAAAATAATCACGTTAAAAGTTTAAATAAATTTAATTCCTTTATCGCGTGAGATTTTAGAATCTCCACAGATATTTAGGATAATCATATTACCGTATATGCCAATAAAGCTTGGCAGGTATGATGATTAAGAGTCTTTAAAACGTATATATACACACAGTTAAAATATATTATCAACACTTAAAAATGTACATAAGAATATAAATAAATAAAATAAATTGCCAAACTCTTTTATTGTGTGAGATTCCAGAATCTTCGCAGATATTTAGAGCAATTGCATTACCGTATGAACCAATAAGGTTCTGCAGGTACTACGATTAAAATTCCCTATCATAAAACATAAAGAAAAATATTTTTAAACATTTTTCTTTCTTTATTCCAAAAATTCAAAAATGAAGAAAATAATTAAAATTAAATTACCTCTTGCAATTTAAAACACTCATATTAAAATTTCAAAAATTATTTTATTTGCAAAATGATGAATTATTTCTAATTAATTTCACTTCAAAAAAATATTTTCACCAACAAAATTGTATGCCCGAACTACATGGACTTTGATCCCCATCACAGGGTATGTAGGCCTTAGAGTTAGATTCTGAGTCAAGTCTGTCCTCCCTCATAAATAAATAAACATTTCTCACTTAATTCTTATCATTTTTGAAACACATGAATATAAAAGGAATAATTAAAAAAATTATAAAACCATATTAAAAGAGCACAACAAACTTCAGGTAACCGTTCTGACGAACGGGTGTTGTGGGGTGCCTAACAGTTTCCCCACACTCAACCGACTCCCGAACCTATTCTCTGATTTTGCAGACCACCCTTATCCTTCCTTTTAAACAGTTTCCCGAGATTTTCCTCAAAATTTTGGTGGCGACTCCTCGTTCGATCTGGTTCCCGCCGCAAAGGTCGGGACCTCCGCTCATGCACCGTCCGCGTTGCATTTTTTTGGGTGTGACACCAGGCGTGCCAGAGATGCTGGGTCTCAAATAGATAACAAAAGGTTCTCGAGTTCCCTTACCATAATTCGCTCGGATGTAAAAAGATAGTAGGCTTTGGTAGAACAAGTATGTAATTTTATTAAAGTGTTTGAACATTACAGACTAAAAACTAAGAACTGAAAAGGGCAAGTAAATGTAAATCATGTGAGTCTTGATCGAGTGTTGACTATCCTCTCTATTTTTTCTTCTTCCTTTTTACAGTGTCTAATAGCAGAAGCCTTTTCTTTGGGACTTAGCATGTTCTACCGAAGATTCAGGAATCCCGTGAAACTTATGGCACGATCTCTCTATCAGCCCATTTCACCGAATGACTTAGGCGTAGATTTCGGTAGCACTTAGGATCGTGTCTTCGTGCTAATGGTCTGATATTTAAAGCTGATAGGATTTCAACATGTTCATGTGTTATGGACTTCATTGAGCTTCGGGGTCGGCCTCTTTTGTTTATATTGGGCCGTACGTTTTAATTACTCAGCCCAACTAGCCTCGTGACCTATTTGAGCGACGTTTCATATTTAGCCCAAACAAAATAAACTGGCCCCAGTCCCATCGAGCTTGGGTCAATTGGGTAAAGCGTCTGAAGGCTGATCATGAGCCCCAGTGGATGGAGATAGGTCTATATGACCTAATTCAACTGTCTCTAGCTGATGTTGACGTCCCCGTGGACCTTCTGACGGCCCACCTCAGTTTTTGGGCTCTAGGCTGTAATGCTTTCATCTTCAAGCTCAGCCGATGTCCATCGCGCTATGGGACATCTTCATGTTCCTGGGGCTACCTATCACCAGGGAGGAGAACTTCTACACCATCCCCAAGAAACACGACTCCTACACTACCCTGCCTACTGACTTGGAGAGTAAGATCAGGGCTGCGAACTCCTATACAAAGATTATGGAGCTGTTCTCTAAGAAACTAACCTCTGAGCCTGTCACTGCCACGAAGCACCTGGTCTTTATCTGGATCCTACTCAACCAATGGATCCTGGCCTTGAGGGGAGGACAGCCCATACAGCTGTATCTCTAAATCGCCCAATCCCTTCTCTATGGCAATCAGATAGCCCTTAGAGACCATGTTTCTATGCCATCTATATGACGGCATGAGGGAGTTGCTGATCAAGAAGCCCTTCAGCAACTTCACTGGGCCCATCTGGTTCTTAAAGTTGTGGACGATGGCCTACTTCCCCACCTTCGACGAGAGCCCTTTCCTGATGATTCCGGCGCCTAATTCTGCTTTAGAAAAAGGTTCACATCCGGTGCAGTGGTTGTTTTTTCATACCTAGTGAGGCCAGGAAAAGAGACTCATAAGCAAAATATACTTGCATGACTATTCTACTTCCACTCGCTGGCTTGATTTGTTACTTGATCGAGCGATTCTTCGCTTTGATAAGCAACTACCGATATGAAAACCCTGCTATCATCGAGGCATCTATCTCCTGGGTGGACATTCGTTAGTGGAGTTGAAGAACTTCTTCAAGTTCTTCTGTCAACAAAGATGGTCCTTGGGGAGGACCTTAAAAGCTTTCAACATCCCCGATCACCGCCTTCCCACCTGGTATAATTAGATGGTGGAGAAGAAGAACAAGCCCGCTAACTCTTTAAGGGATGAGGTCTTTCTCTCAGCCACCACGCCTCGAAAGATGTGGCTGCTGTACACTAGCTCCTCCTCCAAGTTTCTTAGAGTATACTTGGAGTCCTATCATCTTCAACTGGTGGCAGGCCAGTTTGGACTGAGCCAATGCATCCCTCGAGGCCTATTCCCTCAAATCAGCATGAAACTGCTGGACAGAGAGGCTATTGATCAGATAGCCATTCCACTTACCACCCAGAGGCAATGTAAAGTGGAACTTGTAGATAGAGACGCCTGCCTTTGCTTCAACAAATGGTGGCCCCAGTGCTTTAGGCGCATAATAAAGAGCTACACCAGTAAGTGTTTCCTCCACATTTTGCTTTAGTTTTATTCTTTTTATTTTTTTCCTTGGACTAAACCTGTCTTGTTTTATGCAGACAGTGATTGGATATAGTGCCACATGTTGGTGACCTTTTTAAGGGGTAACATTAACACCCTCATCACTTTCGAGACCCCGACGGCCCCTTCCATAAGGATCGTGGTTGAAGGGATGGAGCAAGACGACGCTTCCTCCCAACTTTCCATTCCCTCGGTCTCTAAAATGTTCAGGGCCAAGAAGATCTCCTCCAGTCGTCCTGACCGAGGAGACATTCTAGATAAAAGGAAGCAAGCTCTGTCCCCTTCTCCTGAGGCAAAGAGGAGAAAGAAGATAAGGCCTCTACCGTTTGACCAACTAGCCTCTATCCCTCTCCAAATCGGCCCCACACCTTAAAAGGGGAGGCACACACATAAGTGCCAACGGATGATGATCCTCTCAGTAGACTCCGACGATGGCAGAGTGAGTCCGATCCAATAAGGAGAGAATGAGACCCAGCACCTTGATCTCCAAATGGTCTCCTTCCAAGCCGCTACCACCCTTAAGCCTACACCCATGGATTTAGTTGCATTTACTTAAGAGGTAGACCAGGAGGTGGTAGAAGGTGGTGAAAGTCAAGGAGCTGTCCTGTCTATCACAGCCCCAGGCAGTCCAGAAAATGTTAGGGCTGCTCTTAATTAAGAGGGAGCTGCTGCTGTTGCCTCAAGCGACCAGCTGGAGGTTGGGGTCCAGGACCCTACTGCCATTACGGGCCCCTAGATGATCTCCCTACTCAGTCTAATCCTTCCCCCCATTTAACCAATCTTCAAGAGGGTAGGAGTTCTGGGAGGTCGCAGGCAAAGTTCATGGGTACTGCTCTGACTGCCCTGGTCTACATCCAAGGTGGCTTAGCGTAGGGTCAAGCAGGTTCCTCCACTCTAATAGACCGTGTGGAGGAGGACTTGTGCTTGGTGGTGAATAAAGAAAAGGATCTCATAGACCCAGTCTAGGTATAGTCTTGTTTGTTATTTATTTTCATTCCTGCCAGCCTAGTCTTGGTCTCTTACTAATATTATTTTACTTTTCTTCAGCTAGCTGCACCAGAGGCAGTACCTACGGATGCTCTTTTCTCTCACATTTACATCCCTGAAACGAACGTGATATTGGATGCGTGGAGAGTCATCCAATTCTAACTCAGCCATGATCCCTTCCTTATCCCTGAGCGAAATTTCGGGGAAATGATCCAGGCTTGAGGCAACATCCGTAGTACAGTCTGTTAGAATTGTGGCTGAGTTGACACTTCTGTGAGCTCAAGTCTCAGCATGTTATGGCATTGTTAGCCAATACTGTAAAGAACTCCCCTCTTTTCCGAATATTTAAAGAACAACTGGGCAATGAGGGATGAATATTTGGCTGCCAAGACCCAGATGACTACTTCTACTAACCGGGTCTAAGAGATTGCCCTTCGTGTTGATAATCGTTGGGCATTATGGGCTAAGGTGGCGGACTTAAGGAGCCAACTTATGGAGGCTGAAGAAGAGTTGGCAAAGGCCGAGGCTGAAGACGGTCCAGCAGAACCCGAGCTGGAAGTAGCTACTAAAGTGTTGGATGAGACACGGACCGTCTCAGATGCTAAGCTTTAAGGTTTGCTTGAGTTTTAAAGTCCTCACACGTCACCAGACCCTTTCTGTGGATTTACATTGGGCTCAGTCAACGTGGGAACTTATATACAACCTTTGTAAATAGTGTACTCTATGTATAAACACACACACATTTTTTTATTTGTTATTCTTTATTCTTTGTAACATGATTCAATGATAATAAAGAACAAACATTTTTTTCTCATTGTGTGATTTTTGTATGCCCGGAGGCCATTCTAGGCCTCAGGTCCTTCATCGCTTTCCTATTATAATGACAGCCAATACTTCTTTAAATATTTGCCGTTTATAGCCCGTTTGTATGGAATTCCGTCTACGCTGGCTAACATGTATGTGTTCCCTCTAAGTACTTTGTCTACCTTGAACTGTCCTTCCTAATTAGGTGAAAACATACTAAGTATCTGGTCTTTAGAACTAGGTGGTAACACAAGTTTCCATATGATCTCACCTGCCTGAAAATGTTTTCATCTTATCCTCATATTGTATATTTTCAAAACTTATTTCTTCTGGGCGATCATATGATCAAGTGCTTGTAAGTGAATTTTGTCTAACTGGATTAACTTGTTCATCATGGCTTCACTATAGTCATCAGACGGTCTTTCTAGACTATTTGTAATGCGTAGCGAAGGAACTACTATTTCCATAGGCAAAACAGCCTCATGCCTATATGTTAACACATACGGGCTCGTGCCTGTACCTTCTCTTTTAGATGTCCGATATGCCCATGATGTCTCGGCCAATTGTTTGTGCCATTCTCGAGGATTCTCTTCAATTGTTTTCTTTAAAATTCTGAGGATGATCTTATTGGAAGCTTCAGCCTGTCCATTTGCCTGAGGGTAATATGATGAGGATGCCAATAACTTAATCTCACTTTCCTCTGCAAAGGCCTTGAATTCACTTCCGATGAACATTGTCCCCTGGTCTGTTGTAATTGTTTGAGGAATCTCAAAACGAAGCACGATTTGCTCCCATACAAAGTTAATAACATTGATCTGTTCTACTTTTTTCATAGGGACGGCCTCAACCCACTTAGTAAAATAATCTATGGCCACCAAGATGAATGAGTGGCCCTTGGCTGAGGCCGGAAATATTTTTCTTATTATATCCATGACCCATCCTTAGAAAGGCCATGGTTTGATAATGATATGCATATTTGATGCTGGCACTTGTTGTGTTGGCTTGTGACTTTGACACTTCTTGCACCTCCTAGCATACTCGATGCAATCTTTTGTCATTAAAGGCCAATAGTATCCATGCCTATGCACTAACCATGGCATCTTTGGCCCCAACTGATGAGCCCCACAGACTCCCTCATATACCTGTCTTAAAACCTCCATATAATTAGTGAAGGCCAAACACTTAAGTAATAACCCATCGGGGCCTTTCCTATATAATTTATCTCTAATTAAAATAAAATGGTGAGCACGTATCCTTGTTCTGTACGGGTAACATTGACTGGGATTTTAAAAATAACTCTTAAAGTCATCTCTCCAATCTCGGGCTAACCTTTGCGAGACTGTACTGCACTGGACTGTCAAACCACGCTGAATGACTGAGGGATGTTCTTTCCACTCCACCACAATTACTTTTCTAGTGAGCTCAAGTGAAAACCTTAGCCCTGATGCTATTTGAGCCAATTCATTGGCTTCCCAGTTTTGAGCTCGAGGAATGTGAATTAACATTACTGTTTTGAACTCCTCTAGAATCTGAGAACCCCTGGCATAATACATCACTAGAGCTGGGCTTGTGTACTTGTACTCACCAGTTAGTTGTTTGATGACTAACTGAGAATCCCTCTCTATGACCACATCACGAGCCTTCATTTCTTGAAGAATCTCAAGCCCTGAGCAGTGCTTCGTATTCTGCCTGGTTGTTTGTACACTCAAAATTTAATTGAAGAGACAGTATAGTTTTTATCCCCATAGGAGAGGTTATCACTATCCCCAGACGCCTGTTCAGTGCTAGATCCATTGAACTTGAGCACCCAAGGCCCCGGATCTACTAAGAACACTGATAATTCCTATTCATCTTTAGGGAGCCCGGCTGAGGGATGATCAGCTAGAAAATCCACTAACGCCTGGCCCTTTACTGATTTTTGAGATAAAAATATTAAAGAAAATTCAACCAAGGCCAAACTCCATTTTCCCATACAGCCATGATTGGCCGATTAAGCATGTCTTTAATCAAATCAGAATGAGAAACCACATACACAACTGCATTTATTATATAATGCCTTAACTCAATACAAGCATAACATAACACCAAACATGCTATTTCTACATCTGAGTATTTGGTCTCTGTAGGACTTAAACACCTACTTAAATAATAGACTACCTGCTCACATCCCCTATCAACATTTTGGGCTAACATACAACCTATGGACGTGGCAGTAGAAGCTAAATACAACAGAAATGGGGTGTTCTCCCTCATGGCTGCTAAGACCAGAGGTTTTGTCAAGTGTTCTTTAATCTTGTCAAAGGCTGCCTGATGATGTCCAGTCTAGGTGAATTCATCGGTAGCTTTAAGTTTTAAGAGTTCAAAAAACTCCTTCATCTTCCCTGTAAGGCTCGGGATAAAACGCCTGAGATAATTGACCTACCCAGGAACCTTTGAAGTTCTTTCTTGTTGCTCGGTGCCTTTGCCTCTAAGATGGCTCATGCTTTATTCTGGTCTACTTCAATTCCCCTCTATGGACCAGGAATCTAAGGAAGTTCCCTGTAGTTACACCGAAAGCATACTTTAGTGGATTTAATTTAAGGCCGACCTCCCTCATTCGGAGGAAACTAGTCCTCAAATGTTCAATATGATCATGTGCCTTCTTAGATTTTATTATTATGTCATCTATGTATACTTTTAGGTACTTTCCCATCATATCGTGAAAGATGGCATTCATAGCCCACTGATAGGTGGCCCCGGCATTCTTTAGTTCGAAGGGCATAACTACCCATTTGAAAGTTCCAATGGATCCTGGACACCTGAAAGCGGTCTTGTGAATGTCTTCTTTTGCGATAAATATCTGATTGTATCTGGAGAAGCAATCCATGAATGACAATAAAGCATTTCTGGCCCTAGCATCTATTAATCTGTCTGTAATAGGCATTGCATACACGTCTTTAGGTATGGTCGTGTTTATATTTTAGAAATCTATGCAAACTTGCAGTTTCCCATTCTTCTTGATTACTGGGACTATGTTTGAGAGCCACTGGGTATACCTGTAGGGCCATATGAATCCGACCCATAAGAGGTGTTTGATCTCCTCCTTTACTCATAGCTCTACCTCTACTAACATTCTTTAGGTGGGCTGTTAGTGTGGTCTATAGTTTGGCCTTATAAGAAGCCTATGTTCGACCAGTTGCCTAGCCAACCCTAGTATTTCATCATAGTCCCATGCAAAGTAGTCCTTGAATTCTAGTAGTGTTAGTTTGATGTCATCCTTCTGTTCTTTATCTAGTAGTGAGCTAATGAATGTGCTCCTTAACTCTTCTGGGGATCCAAGGTTTACTTCTTCTAATGGATCCTGGACCTCTGGGGCTATATCTTCAAATTTCAGAGGTGTAAGGTCTAACTCGTATAGCTATGCTATCTTTTAAGTCTCATCTTCATATATGACTTTGGTCCCATAAACCTCAAGTCCGTAGTCTTCTACTTTCTCTTGTAGATTGTGCAACCATAACTTTCAGATGGCCGCGGCTGCTACAGCCTTTCCTTCATTTTCTTTAGTCATCGACCAGTTCTATGATGGGCTCGTGCCTTTGTGAGGTTAGAGGTTCTATAGCGTCTGGTATTATTCTACATGAAAGGATTCCTTGAGCCTTTTGAAATGTGAACGGGCCCATGTCAACGTCGTAATACCTTGCATCCACAAAATCAGTAGCTGCTGTGAATGGCTTGTCTTTAGCCCAAACTATTTCTACCTCCTCTCCTTTCCACATCAGGAGCATGTGGTGCAGTGAAAAGGGTACACATTCATTGGCATGAATCCAATCCCGTCTTAGGAGAGCTTGGTATTGAGCTGTGGTACTGATCACAAAAAAGGCCGTTAGTGACGACTTGGTCCCGACATCAACCTATAACAGTAGTATGCCGAGGACCTTGGATATGATCCCAGTGAACCCTACCATTAATACCTCGATTAGCACTAGGTCGTGCTCTTCTCGCCCCATCTTGATCATCATGCGGGTTGGTAGAATGTTCACCGCCGAGCCATTGTTGACGAGGACTCTAGTCATCGGTCTCCCATCGAAATTTGCCCTGATGTATTAGGGCTTCAAGTGCTGAGTCATCTTTGTGCTGGGTTTGTCCAGGACAGCCTGCTTTGGTTTCCCTTCTATTGCTTGTAATGTAATTTGGCAGACAGGCTCTGCAATCTTTTCTTTCTATGCTTGTATGCTTATAGGCTCGTACTCCTCCTCTTCCCTTAGCTTTATTGGGTAATACTGATACAGGCCTCTCTGTACTGGCTTCGAGGAGTTTTGCCCCTGCTGGTCTTGGGTATTGCTAGTTGTGGATCGAAATTGAGAAGATAGTGTTAACGAGACCACACAGCAGAGGTTGAGCGGTATCTCTCTAATGTGAATGGTTCCTTTTTTTTGATTTTTAGCCTCGCTTGCTTCGTCTTGATCTTTAGTGGACTTTCTTCTGAACTTGCTAGCCTCTTGTTGAATGTCGGGGCTATCCTGTACCTTGGTTTTTTGCTGTTCAAGGTACCTCTGTGTAGCCCGTTTTCACTAAAGACATCACTTTTGGGTTCTTGTTAAGGCATCTGAGAATTTTTTGTGCCTCATAACTCTCCATTTTTGAAGTGGCACATTGTCAGGTGGCACAATGAACCTGCCTGAGCCTTGAGTGGCTTTTGGTTTTGAAGGAAGCTCTATACTATTTTCTAATAGCGTTAACAATGGTAACGATAAATCATCAGGGCCTACAACCCAGCCTGTTAGTATCCTTACGAACGGTTCACCTGACCCAGAGGGAGCTGAATACTTTACAAAGAAGTCAAATTTGCCAGATGGTTCACCTAAACGGTCCCAGACCACCTTAGATCCATCTGGTTCTGTCATCACTAATCCTCTTGGGCCAACATCCCATCCTAAGGGTCGTTAGCTATTTTTCTTCTTTTTCTACTGACTGTCTCTATTATGGGTTTCCCCCAAACATTCCTAAACTACTTCGGAGCCATCCGAGCTT